CATGTATATAATATTACTTATTTAAAAATGAAATATCCATATGCATGAATAGAGGAATTCTTGCGAAAAAGAGGAATTTCAGCGAATTGCCTTAACATCACATGGCAGCGCTCCATTTCGTCGTAATTTTTGGTAAACAAATGGGGTTAAAACGAGTGCAAAATGTAATATTTAAAATGCAGATTTTTTAGGTAAAAAACCTGCTAAAAGTGTAAGATATGGAGTGATTTACAAGCTTATAGTGTAATTTGATTAATTTGAAGTGAAAAATGTGACTAAAGTGTGTTTAATACGGTGAAATAGCGTTTGCGAATTTTTGAACTTTAAGGTCGAATATCTCCTAAACTAAGCGTTTGTGGTACCTATAGCCCTGTATATTTTTTAATCAGGAGGACTTCCTCTTTCCAACGGCACCTTCAGATCGCGGCGCCAAAGAAATCGGAATTGTGCCAGATATCGATATTTATTTAGAATTTTTAACAAAGGAAGATAATTATTTTTATTGGGCAATATAACTTTATATTGCTTTTGCTAATATCTCGCCAAACTAGGAGCATAGTTTAAATATTACGAGAGTTACCTTTTATATTTTGGGATTAGAAAACAAAAAATATCAATAATCGAAAATTGTTTTTATCGTTTTTTTCAAAATATTCTACATTAAGATCTATACACTTTGCAAAGGACTTTGGCACCTGAGTTCTAAACGCCCCTTCAGGTGCTGAAAAGCGTTAACCTCTTAGTTTATATTTTACGTACGGGAATAAAGGTCAGGACTATACGATGGATGACTCATCAAATCGATGTTTTGAGTGCTCAGTTGTTTCAGTCGACGTATAAGAGCACGCATTGTCGTGCTGAAGACTTTTCGTCTTCGGCAGAAGTTTCCGAAACAACTGATTTTGGACGACCTTCAAGATATGTCTTGGAGTTATCCACGACCTCGATTGATACCATCGTTAACACTTGTTCTTTATGGAGCTTCATTGCCAAAAATTTAAATAAGTTCATCCCTGCACTGTTGTTCAGAAGAGAATAGTAGTTTTAGTTACTGTAAACAGCACAAATAACATAAAAATGTCAAACTTGCTATATTTAGTTCAACAACTGTGATTATAAGGCACATTTTAAGTCGTAGATCGAAAAAGTATTTTCTTCATTATTTTCACACATTTTTAAACAGCTGTAACTTTTTTTCAACCTCAACGAATTTATTTATTTTTTTAAATAAATAAAGCTTCAAATCTCACCTTTCAAACACTATGTCATACCATAATGTGATTGGTACCACTGGAGATATACGACTGCAACGACATCTATTGACAAAATACGAAAAGACTTTTTCGACTACCCAAACAGAAACATGGGATAATATAAGTACTATATCTGAAATATACTATTATTTTAACACAACATGAGTCAAATGGCTGGCTTTATTGGACAAAGCTAAATATCGGTCGGTATATCGATTATTGTGATACTTACATATGTATATGCCCGAAGTCCCGTCAATAGTCTGATGATTGCTGCCGCACACTTCACTTTTTATATAACTCACAAAAAAGCGGGTCAAATATTGTTGGTATTGATGAAGCGGAATATTTAGAGCATATTAGGGGAGTTGGTGAAAAGTGAAGGTTAGTATCTTATTGCGACACTTTGTATGCAGGACGTATGTTTAATATGTCATGACTTATTCTAGATGAATAGAAGTTTCATATGTTACAATATCCAGAACGAAGTTGTACAAGGGTCGCTGTGGTTGTTCGAAAAAGTCCCCCGATTGGGTGTAAGTAATAAATACCGTCTTATGCGGAGTGAAGGCGTGCAAACTATTAAACGTAACACCCCTATGTTTTGTGTTATTGACTATCGGAGCAGAGATGGTCAACTCTCATGCCATTGCAAGTCAGAGAGCAATTGACGGAATTCAGGAGGTTGTCACGTTTAGCAATTGGAAAAGAGGAACGGTCAGATTGAAATCCTATCAAAAAACTACGTAAACGGAGGAATTCGTTGCACGCGTTCAAGGCAACTAATAAAAAGTGTAAACGTATTTGATGAAACGTTTTGTAATATGATGCATGATATAATTAATTATCAATGGAAAATTATTTACTAATTGTTAGTTACATGCTTAAATTCCTTTATTAAGTATTGAAAGTTCAAAGGTCAATTGTTTTATTTTACGATAAAAAGATTTAAATTGTTTTTCTGTATATTGAACGATCACTATATAGTAGTTTCTAATCTTAATAAAAAATATATATCACGTCGTAGAACACTTTCAGTTACAACAAGTCAACGGATATTTTTAATGTATCGCATCACTATTTTAGTGCTTTTTTTTGGCGTTAAAGCCATAAAATCCGTATAAATAGCATCGAATTATTACTAAAAAGCAATAAATTTGTATATCTTGTTAGTTTAGAAAATAAATATTTTTAATATTCTATTGTACTGAGTTTTACAATAGCGAGGTATCGTTTCGGTCATTTTTATCATGTCATGATCTGTAATTTTTTTCATTGCATTTTCCCAATTGCAACTTTTTGTACGCTTTTGCCATTTTATGACCGTAATAGTCATCCACCTGTACTCGCTAAAATTTCTTTACATAATGTTCAAGTATCAATAAGACAAAACATCGCTCGAAGTAATGAAGATATTGCTAAATATCACAATTTGTCAATTCCAAGACGTTATCTAGAATTAAGACGATCTCAAACCATTCTCTGGGGCCGTTACAGTCAATAAAGATTGGTAAAGATCGATGATAACCAACTTTTTATGGCCGCAATTGGAAGAAGATGATCTTACAACATCTGGTGCCACACAGCACGTTCAACCGAATTATAGCGAGAAGGGTTTGGAGTTTCGAGATTTGATTTAAGAAATTTTGACATTGAATGGCCTCCAATAAGTTGTGATTTAACACCATTAGGCTAATTTTTGTGTTGTAATTTGAAGGCATTGGTATTTATCAATAAACCAGTCTTTCTTCAAGCTTTAGAAGCCTAAATTTAACGTGCTATTCATGTCATACGACGTGATTTAGTGGAAAAAGTCGTGGCGACCATTTGAATAATGTTATGTTCATAACTTAATTGTATCGATTGCACTTCACATTAAATTAAAAAAAATATATTAATTTCCATAACAATTAGCGTGTTTTTTGTTTTTTATAATCGTATCACTCTTATTGGAAATTTGTTAATTAAAAAGAAGAAAGCAATCAATATGAGTTTCAGCAGGTTATTATGCATTCTCTGGACTGTGAACCTATATCAAAAGGAAGTGGTATAGAATAGAATCTAAAGGAGTATTTTCGAATGGCCAAACTTTGGAGAGTACAAACAAACAAATAGCCTAAATGATCAATGGTTGTCAATTCAACTGGATATTTTTGTTATTGCTTCCATTAAAGATGTTTTTGTCAACAGAGAAGGGACAATTAACAAAGCTTAAATAAAGCAAACGAGTAAGGTTCCAGTTAAAAGTAGAAAAAATTGTAAATCGAAAAATTTTATTTTTCTTTATAATATTATTTCGGTTAGCCAAAGTCTAGAACAATAAGTTACATGCCAGTAAAATTTCTGAAAAGCTTTGTTAAAGGTCTGAATAATATAAAATAAACTGAAAATTTACTAGTATTCCAATCATTTAAATAAATTGTAAAGTAGTAAATATTCATTGAAAGTCACGAAAGTTATTTTCAGACGTGTTAAAAAGCACGCCAAGTCAAATACAATTGCTTACATAATATATGGTGTATATATAATATATGTTTATATATCTTGATTTAAACTTAAATGGCGCCACGAGCTTCAACGTATAAATATTTACTAACAAAACAGAGTTCACATGTTAATTATAACTGTGAAATAATTCAAATCGTCGACCCATTAAGTAATTACAGATAAGTGTAATGTCTTTTAATCACGATCTATAAATGTC